CAAAACACTGGCATCTGACGAGTCTACCAATGCTGAAACCCAGAACATCATGACCCTCACTGCTATCTTAGAATGATTTTGTTTTTGCTTAATTTTAATAATATTTTATGGATTCTGACATTGAAGTTATTTTCAGCTTTATATATTGAAATTATACATATAATAAATGACAAATGAATTTATGAATGCCTGTTGTAGCATACATCTGCTGTATGGAATTTGGTATTAATTAAATTTATTTTGTTGCTAAACTTAAGGCTGAGAATGAATATATGATTAGAAGAAAACATGTTGCATAATTTACTACTACACTGTAGCTTATGTTGAAATAAGAATGTTGAAGAAACAATAAACATTTCAATCTTATGTGGATTTTGATGTTGGTTAGATGATTGATATATTTTCTTAATGAAAACTTAATATAATGGAGACTGTATAACTTAACATTCTTTGTTTCTTCCAACTTTCACTTATTTTGTATTATGTGATTTCAGTCACACAAAAAAGAAGGGAGTGCTGTTACAAATTTATTCCTATCCTTGCCAAACTAGTAAATAATACACTAAGAATAAGTGGTTGAAGTAGTTAAATCTGTAGGTCTGTGCCCTAGTTTTATACTTTTGTGTGTTATAATTCCGAAGTAAAGTAGCCAAGTTAATAAGTTTCTGTTTTGGTTAATAAAGGTATTGCAGATTATTAAGTAAAATCTATTTCCTTTTAAAAATTATTAAAGGAAAAGTTATGTAACACTGGTAATTTTCTTGAATTGCAAATGTCTCCAGTGCACACTAGAACTCAAAAAGGTCCAGAACTGAATTTTTAAGTGCAGCTTGTATGTGTACAAAATTTCTGTAACTATGTTGAACATTATCCAATCATTCTCTTTGGTATGTTTGATATGCACATACTAATGTTTTAGAATTTGACTCTGCTTGTTTTTAAGAGACTGGTTGTCATTGACTGGAAGTAAGGTTAGTGGTTTCATATGATACCAGCTTCTGACATTTGGCATATTTAAACATAGTATTGGTATGATTTTAGAAGTAGGTAATAAGACCTCAGCCTTTAGGTTTTATGTAAGACCTTTGGCCCAAGTGGGTAAAGTAGCGTATATTTGCACATTTTTAATCTTAAAATGTATCTGTAGATTGATAAAGTAAAAGAATAACCAGTTCATTAACAAGAAAAATATGTTCATTGTTTAATAAGAAGATTGGTGATACTGAGTCACAGCTGTTTTAACTTTGTATGTAATTTATAATGAGTTAACTTGAAATTTTGTGACTTTCTTCCATTTATTGATAGGATGTCTTAACAGTTTATGAATGTTAGGGACCACACATTTGTCTGTTTTCTTTAGTACAGGGATGCCTAACTGGTGGTATACAAATTGTGCTTTATCTGGTCTGAGTGTTTTTATCAAAGCAGACCACCTTCACATATCAAGGACTTGTTGCTTTCCCTAAATTCAGTGAACTTTATTTCCATCTGGTACATGCAACATGTAGTGTATTGTATGTACATTATGTTAGCAGAAAGACTTGGTAAAAGCCTGATGAATTGCTGACTTATAAATATATCATTTCAGAAAGACTACATTGAGTAAGAATGACATATACAATTATAGTGATAGTAATAAAGCCTATACTATTTATTATTTTATTTTTAAATTTGCCTGTTATTATGTTAACCCAGTGGCATACATTGATGGCTTTGGGATAGCCTCTGGTTAGCATTGGTACTTTTACAAATGTTAAACATTATTGGATGAAACTGGGGATAATGATGCTATTCTTCTGGGTTTTGGCACTGTGTAGGCTCATCAGAGGCAGTATTTTGGAGAAACATAGTCTCCATCTTTAGGGCTGAAGATGGCGACACTTTGTTTCTGTGGAATGCTGACATCTACTGACAAGTCTCCGTGGTACCAAAACACAGAAGAACAGCATCATTGTTCTCACTACTGTGAAAACCTCAAATCTCACAAAGTTGAGATAGTTACAAGTTTTGACATGTTCATTATACTGCTACAGATGTTTTGATTTGAGGTATTAATTTTTAAATCTTTTAATTCATTTTACATAAGAATTTTAATAGATAAATTCAAAGTGTGCCAAGAGGTCAGCATTATAAATAATGAAAAAATGCTTTCGCCTCCACAGTAAGATAGGGGTCACTGCCATCTTCCACAGAAAGTATCTTTTTTCCTTTTATCAACCATGTGACACAGCTTACATTCAGTCCAGTTGTCTGTGCATTACATAACATACCACTAAACCATTATGCCCAGAGTTAAAATTAGGCTTGCAGACATGTAGTTTCAGGATTTAAATCCTTTGTTCCTGTATAATGCAGATTAATCATTGGATCCTTCACTCATTCATAGTACTCTAATACTCCATGTAGTGGCATATATTTAGCACCTCATTTGTGAAGTATAAGACCAAAATATTGTGTTTCTGACATGTTAATCTTGTGAATCGAGTATTCTTTAAAAATTTGTCACTGAAAATGAGTTGTTCTGTTGTATGTCAGCCACTTAGAAAAATGGTATATTTAGTGGAAACATCTTTTACCGAGTCATGTACATATTGTACTCAAACAATGTTATCCCTACTTTTATAAATATACATTCTTGCGTGAGACTTTCTCAGAAATAATTTCCAGAATACATTGCAAAGTAAAAAGCTGAAAAGCCCATTTCAACTCATGTTATGACTGGAATTAATCTGTAGAGGCTATTGCAGTTTGAGAGTATCATATAACATGATTTGTAAGAAGTGGCAAATGTGTGATTAGATTTCAAATATGTATCACTCGTTCAGTGCATGTCTTAGGAATGCGGACCCAGTATTTGGTAAGAGCATGACTGCTTTATATCAAGTATTGATATGTAACATATGTAAGTCAGTACAGTAGTCTCTTCAGAGACAGTAGTAACTGTATAAGTACGAAACAACAGTGATGCTTATTTCTAAACCAGAAGTGTTTACTGTCTAATACATATATGTTGATTGTGTTTGCGCCTGAATCACTGCCTCAGTGTCAGGTAACAAGAATATACCTAAACTGATAGCATTTTTAAATCTGAAAGTTTTCATACTCATATTGATCTCATTAAAATCTCAACTTATGACATTTTTCAAACTGCTTAATGAGATAGTATTATTATAGATTGTAAGTTCAGTATAACTGTAAAATTGTTATGAAATATGTTATAACAATCATATTGGTACCTAATTCATATATCTTTATGTCATTATAGAATAGACATTTATGTGTGCTTGTTCCTGATACTGTTGTAACACATAAATATATTTTATTTGCACATTATCTGTTGCCTGTAATTATAATGATTATAAAAAATCCAAAAAGTTACCTGTTGAGTTTTTTAGAAGTTGAGATCCAGTGACAGTTCCAAAGAAAGGGGGATAAATTTACAGTCTTCTTCAAAATGATTTATTTAAATGGAATAAGAAGTATAACTTTTAAATACATTTTTGTTGGGTTCAGTTTCTTCTGTATGAAGGAAATTACGACAAGAAATATGTCAAACCATGACATTTCATATCTGCTTAAAGACATGGCACATATAAAGTACTTCAGATCAAAAAGCATTTGGCATTTTATTCTTTCTTAAGTTAGAGGCTTGGTTCACAAGTTTGATTATCTGATCCAGTAAATAAAGGGAAATTAAAATGTTTAGAGTAAGATAATTAAACTTCTAATTAAATACACATTACTATAGTAATATCAGTCATTCCATCTAATGAACCTTGGATAAACTTTTCTGTACATCAGCGTAGTGTGTTCAAATCTAAATGGATGTTCTTCAAGTTAATAGACATGTCACTTTGACATGTCGAAGGAACACTGGATAATGTTAGAATGAATTAATGTTTCCAAAAACATTAATTAATTCTAAGTTCACGGTCAAGAATGCCTGTGGATATTTGACTACTGTGAATTACACTTCCAATGTTATATGACAGAACATGGAGATACCTATAGCAATCAACTGGTTGCTATGGCAACAGAACAGTTTACATTCATTGATGGTAGCTGAGTAGCATTTTGTTAGATAATTATGTAGAGATTTGTTGTTACGATAATTGTGCAGAATTATTTCTAAGTAATTTGAAAGATAAAATTCTTTTCTGTGAACAGAATGCTTCGAAATGTCCAGTTGCCACTTCTGCCAGGGACTTCATTTAAAATAAATGTAAGTTAATAAAAGTAGAATACAGTAATATTGGACAGTGTTAGTAACTTATCTTATTCTGTACAGGATTATAGGTTTACAGTGTCTTTGTGTGTTTTCATGAATCTTGGTGTGAAATATTCTGGTGGAAGGGGCTTCTTCCCTGGAGGTACAGCAACCAGAACATGAAACTGACTACTAACCTTCATATAGTTCTATAGCTTTATCTTCACTCTCCTACACATAAGTTCTTTTATTTTAATTTTCATCAACTATTAATATTAAGAAGAGAATTTTCTCTCATATCATTGCTTCATATTGTAGAATTAATTAATTAAATTATGTTAAAAATACATTACTTTAAAACACCAGTGTATAAGTTTTTACTTGCTTTTAGTTAGGAAGTCATTTCTGTTATATTTCCTTGTGTTTATACCACTGAATACTTCTGCTCAACAAAAAATCAGTATTATTTGTATGTAAACCATTATTGTGGAGATTTGAAAAATGAGGGTTGGATCCAGTTAAATTCAATTGAGTAGTATCATAAAGTCATAACCATAAATAAACACTGATAAATTCCATACCGTAATGTCATAATTGAAGACTGCTGTCTTTTCAGAGTGCAGGCCAATTTGAAATTTTGGTACACAGTGGTGTAAATTGCATGTATGTTATTTGTAAAGACTTTTTATTTGAATAAAGTAATTGTAGTGATGACTGATATAAAACCTTTGAGATGTAATACTGTTTCAGATTGGACAAACAAAATTTCACAAGTCACAACATTTTGAACATATTAACAACATGCCTATCCTAACAGAAAAAGTTAAACTTGGTTTAAAGTTTCCTTCTGTGTTTGCCAGAGGAGAAGCTGCTGAACTTCCAGCTTGGATAGCATTTGATAAGCAGGTTTGTATACATTAGATCATTGACAGTTTTATTGGAGAATAACATTGTGACATGACATAATTACTACATAATTTTGAGTTGCAGTGCAATCGAATAGGAAACTGACACTTGTAGTGATATAGATTAGGCCCTTTAGCCTGTTTTGACTCATGATTAGTTCTAATCTTTAAAAAATGCAGTAGATGAGGAGTCAGCCCACTACAAGAACTGTATTGTGTCAAAATAGACATTTATGTCTGTGTGGGTTTTGAGCCTATGATTCTATTGTGCGGATAGCCCAAAACTGTTTGTGCTTTAAATTTTATAGCCATTGTAATTGAGATTATAAGCTTTTAACATCATAGAATCTATTGGTTAAGTTCAAAACTTACACTAATCAGGGACAAGCCATGGTTTCTCACCCTGTGCGCTATGCACTGTGTCGCAGAGCTTCCAGACTACATTGTGCATGTGAAAAGAATGGATTATCCATATATATATATGTATATAATATTTATAATCATTTTAAGAAAGACAGCACAGCCAAAGTAATATTCTAACAAGTTATGTCTATCTGTTAAGAGTTTACTGAGAAATGTAGCACCTACAGTATGTTACATGAGCTGGACATTAACATTCAGTTTTTCTGTAGCCCAAACTGGGATGTAACTGGCAAGCTAAGTGTTACTTTTTTTAAATGTATGTTCTAGCATCCTGTTGTGTGACAATTTATAACTGGTAGCAATATTTATTCTTCCATTTACATAACTTTAATATAATTAATAAATTTGATATATTTCATCTTTTAACAATGTACAGAGAGAAAAATAAATAATTTTATGATAGTGGTATGTTTTCTTATATTTATATCTTTCTCAGAATTTTACCAGAAATGAATTTATCTTCGCACTGATTGACAGTAATTTATGATGACGCATTTATTTGTATGCATCATAACATAAATTTAAGACTTTTTCCCCCCTTCAATGTAGGTGCTGTGTTTTGAAGCTTTCTTCCAAGAAGCAGCACAGGAAAGGCCAGGTTATACTTATCATATTCGAAAAGTGAAGATTTTCTTGTTTATGGAAGATGGAACAATTCAAGTTTTGGAACCAACCATTAACAACAGTGGAATTCCCCAAGGAACATTAATCAGTCGTCAAAGGATTCCGTTTCCAGCACCACGGAATGAAGACTTCTATGACATTCTTGACTTCAACATTGGAAAAGAAGTGGAGCTATTTGGACGAGTATACAAAATTACAAACTGTGATAGATTCACAAGGATCTTCCTCAACAGAGTTGGAATTCATGTACCTGATCCCATTAACATACCACCCGATCCTTATAGTGTACAACGAGAAAAGGTGAGATGAATATCTCAGCAGAAGCATTAGCATGAGATGTAAAGAATGGTTATTTTATAACAGGTGTTTTAGTTATATCATGTCCTGAAGGGTATTCTTCACAATAAGTGGTCTAATATCACTATTAGTACAGATACGTACAGGATCACAACTTTATTTAGATGAATTAAATGTCATGTAATTTTAGGTCCATTATGGTGAAACTAATTTTGCTTTGTCTTCAGCTGTCTGAGGGAATGGTACCTAAGAAGCCCAGCAGACACATAGACAAATTGGGTCAGTTTCTTGATTTTGATCGTAAAGTGCTGAGGTTTTATGGCTATTGGGATGATCGTGAGAGTCTCAATGGAATGTTACATGATCTTGAAATACATTATTATTTGGCTGATGATACTATTGAGGTCAAGGAGAATATTCCACCAAATTCAGGGTGTGACTCAGGCTTCATGTTTTTACACAGGTGTAAGCTACTTAAGGTAAAAAGAACAAGGTACCTTGTATGTAAATATTATGTTTAAATCCAAAACTGTTCATATACAAAATATGTAGTTTCAAACATTTAAATTAATAGTCATTCAAAATATATGATCATTTAGACTTTAAATTAAATAATATGTATTAATACTAAAATTATATCAAAAATAGGATGATGAGTTGCAAAAATTTTAAGTTTATCTACACAGTGTATTTATTTAACATGCACAGAAATATGGATTTATTTTTCAGGTTTATGAGGAACTCCCTTCTCTGGGATACAATGATCCACACACTGTACTGAACGTTTTGAGCACAGGCTTTCTGAAGGGGCGTTACTTGGTGGATGCCCTCAACTGTGGTCAGCAGTCTGTTGAATACTATGAAGACTCTGATCTTGCCATTGGTGCAGTCATTAATGTCTATGGCAGGAAGGTTGTACTGACTGATTGTGATCATTTCACTAAGGAATATTATGCAAAGAAATATGGTCTTGGTATGTTTTGTTAAATTTTGTGGTTGTGGTATATTAAATGTTTAGTTTTCTGGAAAAATTCTAATCTCACAAAAGTTCTCTAAACTAATATGTAATATTATACTTTGTGATCACACTAAATAAAATTATAATTGCATCTGCACTCTAAGAAAATATTTAAGTATGTTTAATTAATCATGAATATTACAAACTTATATTCTTATGTATGTAAAAGGCTTTACAATTTACTTCTTGCATGTTCTGATAATGTTGGAGGAACAAGAAATTTCATTCTGGATATACAAAACAATCTAATGGTGATATAATGATTTTCAGTAAATAGAAGACAGCTTATTAATTATTGCAATTCCACCTGTATTTGCCACTGGGCAGCATAACATTTCTATCATAAGAATTATTCTCACAAGTTCTCAGCTGCTGCCTGCGGCCCATCAGAGATTTATAAAAGTTTTGGCATTGTGATCAGAAGAATACAGTTCTTTTATTCTAGTGAAGTAGAAATCAGATTTTGCACTCACTAATAATACAAGTTAACAAGCACGGTGTAACATCAGGCACATTTTGTGGTATATCAACACAGAAATACAATTACAGTATATCTGGCCTGAGCTCACTGGAAATGTGTACCTTTGACATAAAATCCAAGGTCCTGTAGTCAGTGAAGACAACTTTGCAGTTTACCAGTTAATTAGCATCATCTGCAAATTACAAATGACAGTTTGTTTATGTTTTTTGCTGCATTCACTGCAGATGATTTCACACCGCATGAACGTCCCAGAGCAGACAGTGGAGTTGTGAAAAAACAAACATACCCACTACCTCCATACAATGGATTTGGCACACATGAAGATTCAGCAGCCAATTGCAGAAATGTTATTCCAGTTCAACCACATAGACACTTCAAAAAAGTTTTGAACAAGGACAGGTATTTTTGGATAGTTCAATACAACTACTTCTTAAGGCATATTTAAAGAACATGTGTAACATTTGTCCTCAAACATGGGATACAATGATAGTTATACCAAGGGTCAGTGGATCAAGTAAATGGTTATGACAGCCAGCGCTATGAAAACACAGGATTCACTCTTAGTTTTGTTTGGCTTATTGGTGTTGTTAAAAGACTTGTTGAGCTCATTATTGTGTTTTCACAACTGTCACTCTCATAATTTTTATACATCTATAATATTTCGTTCAAAAATCTCTTGGGAAAATTACCACTGGAAGACCCTAAACTGTAGGTGGGACATGGTAGAGTAGCATGAGAGTGAATTGTATGGATGTTAACATGTTTGAAGTAGTCTGGGATAAATTCCAACAGTGGACATTTGATAATGCTGTAAATGAACAGTTCTAATACCAAAATGTTAGTCAATATTTGGACGTGGCTGCAATTTAAAGCAATATTTTAAACAATATTTATGATTTTTCT